GGTACACATTTAATTTGACTCCAGAGAATTAGTTCTCAATTATCCAGCAGAAAAACTCAGGTGCATCCAGTTTAGACGTGACAAAATGTGATGCACAGACGGTCTTAGGCTCCCATTTAAGAGGAGGAAAAATGGTGGTACACATTAAAAACTTCTACAAGTAGGACACAAATTATACAACTTGCTTGATAGATATTAAAAGATTGCCCTGATCCACGTCAAGATAAATCCCATGGAAAGTCTTGCCAGTCTCTTCATAACATGGTAGCATCAGAAATCAGATCCTTGTCTTCACTTGACTTCCCTAAGCACAGCATTACGTGCCATTGAAGTGGGTAAATGGAAGATTGCAAAATGACTTGAGTTTTCAACATAGGTTACCATAGTAAGAAACAAACATAGCCCTTTAATTTAAACCATGCCATTCTTAACACTATTTTTGAAATATGCACTGAAGAACACACTGACTAATGATCAATTTCACCATTTATAACTGTTAGAATAGGTCAGTAGCTTTCACTAGCATTAGTGCTAAGTTAGGCAGGTGAGAAGCAAGGCATGGAAATTGTTCAGTCTATGTAGAGCTGTAACTAATCTTGATATAATTTGATGTTTAAAGTGGAATAAATTTAGACTCATGAAATTTGGACAGCTGAAAGCATATAATGCCATAAAATTTGCAAATAGCATGTATTAGGGTTCAAATCTAACAGCATTTCACATACACCATCTCAAGTTGCCAGATGTGTCAGTTGAGGGGTCTGAAGATCTCTACAGCTCTAGAATGCAAAAATGAAATTTGAGTTTTACATAGAGGTGTACATGTGACTAATAAAATTTTATACACTTGTTACTAGATACTGTATTTGGAGGAGTCAGTCAATGCACATATTAAATGTAGCGAGATTGGTGATCATGACATGGAAACAGCCTGATACAGGGCACTCAAATTTTAGTTAATATTTAAATTCTGAACAATTTTCATTTCTTTGGAGGAGCGGAATTAAAAACTAAAGAGCTACAACAGTTAAGAAAACTTCTAATGTCTGCAAAAAAGCTGTGGGAACCAGTGAAACGTCTGGCAGAAAAAGCATGATACCTGTACATTGTGTTCTGTACTGCTGGTGCTTAAATGGAGCACTGATTTACAGTCCATGAACAACATTCTAATTGTGGGAAATTGAAATGTTGCTAGTCAACATAAATTTGAACTCAAACAAGTTTGATTGATTTGTTCATTAGTCCACAACACTGATTGATTGAAAGATTTACACTGCTTGCTACCTAAAATGAGAAAAATAACCCATTCCTAATCAGTTGCCCTAAAGTTGCCCTAAAGTCTAACAAAATGATGAGTGTTTTTGTTTAAATAAGAGAAAGATGTCTAACAAATTCTACCATTGGCTGTCCACAGATTAATTGACCAATTTATTCTTTTAACAGAATTTCATCTAAATTCAGAAATCATAAAGTAAATGAGGGAAATGTAAAATGACTTCAGTTACAAAATTGAAGAGTGGAATTTACATTAAGTGGGGAAAATGCCTAATCTCTGGACAGACATTTTGATTTCCTCTCACTGTCACAATGTGGTTGTACTGTCCATATTTGCAAACTGCCTGGTGTCAATTGTGCCAAAAGAGGAATGGATCATGGTGGTTTTGAAAACTTACTTGAATTCATTTTCTTCTGATGGTGCCAGATGGCACCCAGTTTCTGTATTGGAAAAGGTACTCTCAGGAAAGGAAGCATTCCAATTGAGTTAAATGTTCTGCTATAAACAATCATTACCAACTCTTTCTAAACAAAAAAAAACTAGGATACACTTGCACCACCTTTACACCCAAAGCATGCAACATAAACAAATATACAGATCCGAACCTGCTCCCCAAAATCAAAATGACCAAGCTTCTGAAAATTCATTTGTTACACTAACTTCTGGAGGCAATCATTGTGCCAATGCTAGTTCGATCAGGATCTAGTAGGATTTAAAATTGGACTAACCCAAAATGTTGTAAAGAGTCATTTTCAGCTCATGCCAAAACGACTACTACTAATTCAACTGCAATTTTAAGGACAGTCACAAAATTTAACCTGCATGAAATAATTGACTAACATCAATTACTATTTTGGTTCCACTGATTCAGTGCAGTTATACATCCAGGAACACAGATTGGTGTTTCCAAAAGTCAATTTGCAGAAATTAATTAAAGTTTCTCCACTTCCCAAACAGATGTCGGATCTGTATACAAGACGTAAAAAGTGCAGAATATGCAAATCAAATTATAATAACCCACTCACGTATGCTAACACCGTAGACTGCTGCAAATGTTGAAGGGGGAAAAGTGTTATCAATGGCATGCAAAAATTGTAAGAATTCTTCAAGCATTTACTTTGTTAAAAGGGACTTAACAGCCTGAAAGGCAGTATGAAGTGTTAAGCTACAATAGGTTCAAAATTACAATTTCCATAGTATAAATTTTAAACAAGCAGGACATCCAAATCATTGTACAGATAGCTCATGACATTTAATGTTGTTAATTCCAGGTTAATTTCATGGAAATTAAACAGCTTTGTTATAAATAATGATCAGTGCCTGACATTTATGAACACATTGAACAGAGACAAAAGACACTTACCTGTTCCTTTCTAGATTTGTGTGATGAAGCAACATGAGCCAAGTACTGAATCACTTTCTTGGTGTTTTCTGTCTTACCAGCACCTGACTCTCCACTGTAAGTAAATATATTTGTGTGTTAACACTTCCATAGTGCTTCATTGAGTGAACATACATCATGATTAAAATTTGGAATGAATTAATAAGGCTAGGTTAACCACAATGCAGACTATTCCCTTAATGAAAATCTGACATATTTGGTAATGCCACCAATTAAATTGAGAAACACTAAATAATCCAAAAGAAGCAAACATTTCATTGAAAGCAAAAGAACTGCAGATACTGTAAATCAGGAACAAAAACAGAAGTTGCTGGAAAAGCTCAGTGGGTCTGGCAGCATCTGTGAAGAAAAAAAAAATCAGTTAACGTTTCGGGTCCAGGTTCTGGGTAAGGGTCACTGGACCAGAAACATTTCATACAACCTGAACAGGAACAATTAAGAAACATTTTCTCTACCAGTCTGACATGTCTGCAAATAAATACACTTGAAAATAAACTGAACTAGAATGACACATGGAAAATAACTACTTGGTTAAGTTAACAGATCATTTTTAGATTTATTAGTAAACCACATTTAATATTAGGCTAAGTGAAGAGGGTTGTGTGGCACAATGGCGGAGTCCTTTCCTGCACCAGATGCATGTCATAACTTGTCCAAACAGGTCAATTAAAAATAAATTTAGATGAAATGATCATAACAGAATAAGTTAAACGTTGAGCTCAAAAAAGAGAGAAATGCAAGAAGTTAACTACGGTTCTAGATTTGACTTCTTCTAGATCAACTTCAATGAGATGATATAAAACAGTGCTCACATTATACTTTAATATTTAGGAGGAGGAGTCTGTTTCACCATTCAACAAGATCATCATTGATCTGATAATCCTCAACTCCACCATCCTGCCTTTTCCACATACCCTGGAATTCCTGACTGATTAGAAATTGATCTATCGCAGTCTGGAATATACTCAATAGCCCAACTCCACAGCCCTCTGTGGTAAATAATTCCCCAGGTTGACCACATAGGAAGAATCTTCCTTATCTCAGCAAAATGGACAACTCCTCACTTACATTAATGTTCTTTGTTCACAGACTCTCCTACAAGGGGAAACAACCGCTCAGCATCTACCTTGTCTTACCTTCCAAGAATCTTAGATGGTTCACTAAGACTCTTCTCGTTCTTCTGAACTCCAATGTGTACGAGTACAAGTCCAACCTACTCAACTTTTCCTCGTAAGAAAATCCCTCCACACTCAGGATCAACCTAGTCAACCATCTCTGGACTGCTTCCAATGTCAATATACATTTCCTTAGATAAGGGGACCTAACTCGTTCAGTATTCCAGCTGTGGTCTGACTAGTGCCTTATTCAGTTTTATCAAGACCTTTTTATTTGCTCCATTCCCTCCAAAATAAAGGCCAACATTCCATTTGCTTTCACTATTACCCACTAAACATAGCTGATATCTGAGCGCTTTACGTATTTGAACCCTCAGATCAGTCTTTGTAGCAACTTTCTGCAGTCTTTCCCTTTTTAAATAATATTCAGCTCTTCTATTCTTCCTGCCAAAGTGTATAACCTCACATTTTCCACATTATCTTCCAACTACCAAGCTTTTCTCCCCCACTCAACCTGTCTATATCCTTCTGTAGCATCCTGCGTCATTCTCCTTACATGTCTTCCCACCTGTTTGGTCACACTCAAACTTGGCTATAATGCATTAACTTCTGCTTAAATAGGTGTCCCCTCTCAACCTATACTCTCACATAAAGGGAAACAACCTCTCAGCATCTGCTCTGTCAAGGCTCCTAACATTTGTGATTCAATCAGGTTACCTCTCACTCTTTCAAACTCCATTGAGTACAAAGTCCAATCTACTCAACATCCTCTTATAAGAAAATCGCTCCAAGCCTGTATCAACCTACCAAATCTCAACTGGTCTGCCGTCAAGCCAAGATTTTCTTTCTCCAGATAAGGGAACCAAAAATCCCAAATACTGAAGCAGTCGAATCCACAAGAAGCAAGACCTGAACAAAATCCTGGTGTGGGCTGTCAAGGGGCAAGTAACAATTGTGCCAAACTGGCAGGCATCTCCAAGAGACAGAATCTGACCATCGTACTTTGACAATGTGATGATATGTGCCTTTAACAGGGTTTTGTTCTGTCCTGTTTCTCTTGAAGGGTGTTGCTGTTGCTGAGGTATCTGCTCCATGGAAAACAGAGTAAATAGTTTTAAGTTTTTTAAAATTAGACAAAAGCAGCATTAATGGGGAGTCAGGCTCACAGACCCAGGATTTTAGTTTTGCTTTCAGGGGAAGTTAGGATTTTTGGAGTTGAAGCAACTAGGTATAGTTCTGTCTCTGCTACTTCAGAGTTCTCTCTGTTGCTAGATTCAGTCTATTGGTGTTCCTATTTCCTAGACTAGAGGAGACAGCAAGTGACGGAAATCTGTTTTGCTGAATTTGCCAATGCCAAGGGTGTGTTTATGTGATGCGGCTTTGATAGAACAGTTGTTGAGTAGCATTAAATAATATATTACTTAAAATAAAGTATTTCAATATGTTAAAATTGTACCAATGTTTTTTGCTTGCGTTTGTGGTGTAAGAATAAAGTGTTTTATGTAAAGCCTGGTTGTGTGACCAATCAAATCACATCTGGAACACTGCGCCTTACATGTGCCTCCAAATAATTTAAAAGCTATGCCAGCTCCTTGCATATTTTGAGAAAGTTTGGTCTGGTCCGCAACATTCAATGGAATTACCACTGCTGAACCCCTCACTAGTAAATTGTACAAAGATGTTGATATAGTCTAAAAACTGAACTGGCCAGCCATATAAATACCAAGGATACAAAAGTAGATTTCAGGCTAGAATTTCTGTGTCAAGTAACTCACCTTCTGTCACTCTGTCCCCTGTCCACCCTCTACAAAGTTCAAATTAGCAGTGATGGAATACTCTCAACTTGCCTTGATGATTGCAACTCCTACAATACTAAAGCAACTTGACAACTCCCAGAACAAAGTAGCCCATTTGATTGGCATCCCATCCACTACCCTTAAAATTTGCTTGCCAATGCAGCATAGCAACGATGCGTACATCTAGAAAATGCACTGCAGAAAAGCACCAAAGCTCCTCGCACAGCAACATCCAAATTCATAACCTCTATCACCTGGAAAGACGAGATCGACAAATGTATGGATACATCAACAGTTGAAAGTTCCTATTATCACTGGACTGTTAACCCAGAGAACCAGGTAACTAAGACAGACGACGGGATTCGAATTCAGTAAAAATCTGGAATTAAGAGTCTAACGGTTACCATGAATCCATTGTCAATAGTCAAAAAAGCCCATCTGGTTCACTAACGTCCTTTAGGGAAGGAAACCGCCAGCCTTACCTGGTCTAGCCTACATGTGACTCCAGATCCAGAATAACGTGGGTGGCTTTTAATTACTTTCTGGGAAATTAGGGATGGGCAATAAATACTGACCTAGCCAGTGATGCCCTCATCTTTTGAATGAATAATTTAAAAAAAAAAACAACCAGCCTGACTTGTAATTTTCTTGCCATTCATTCACCGTCACCGGGTCAAAATCCCAGAACTCCTTAACAGCATTATGGGTTCCCTACACACCAAGAACTTCAGTAGTTGAAGGCCACAGCTTACAATCATCTTTTCCAGGGCATTTAGTAGTGAGAAAGAAATGCTGGACCAGACAGAGACATCCACATCACATGAATTAAAAACAGACTTGTGCATTTTCAGTAATGGTCACGCAATTAACAAGGCTGATACTGCTGTCTTATTCTGGACATATCTAGACACGTACGGAATAGCTGGCCCTTGGTGGAAGTCATGTCCTATGCTATCAAGAGAGGCCAGAAATTCCATTCGTGGCATTCTGGTCCAGATACTCTTCAAATTTCCTGTCAGAGCAACACTTTGAAAGTCACCATTGTTTGGAAAAACATGTACAAAAGCAACTTGAGAATATAGCATTTTTTGTGGGAAATTGTTAGGAGTGATACTAAGAATATTTAACATGTAAATTCTATTTTCAGTCAAAAGGATTTGTAGCAGAACTTCACGTCTTCAGAACCTGAAGGCAATAAAAGTGTCTCAAAAAAAATGCATTTAAATAAAAAGCAAAAGATTTCTTACGTGCACAGGATTGACTGATCCTCACGATCTGAAATGAAACAAAATGAAACATGGGATTATTTTTTCCATTTTTGTCTGTAGTGGACCGCTCCATCCTCAAAATATCAATTTGCCTTGAACACTCACAGTAGAATGTTCAGTATGACCTAATTTAAGCAAGGCGTGAAACAGCACTCATCTCAGGTCTGCAGGCAAACAACAGTTGAAGCCCATTAATCATTAGAAAATTGGATTTGTTTCTCACCTTGAGCCACAAACTGCCATGTGTTCTCAAGTTCACTTCCAAAATACAGATAGATGCATTTACAAATTTACTGCTGACAATGGCAAATTTTTTTCATAAATCTAAAAATCTGCAGATCATGATGAAATTTGGTTGGATGTGTTAAAAGTAGCCAGTGACATTTTAGATTCCAAAGGCAAAGGCAGTACACTTATGAAAGCCAAATACAAGTTCCATTACCAAGCGTACATTTTGGTGAGGATAGAAAATAAAGTGATGATACCAGGATGCTGCACTGCTTTTGTCACAGATACCGAAAAAGTTGAGGGAGAGCACACCAGGTAGCATGTGACAGAAGAATAAACAAACCACCCCCCCCCCCCCCAAGTTTTCCTCTTTCTACTTCAGCCAGCTCCTGTCCAACTATACAAACATGATGAGAAAGACAGATTCCAAATTTAGCTTACAAACTGCATGCATCCATTCAGATTGAAGGAAGTTAATGTTGAACGTTCACAAAACTTTAAAACAGAACTACAGTTGAAAGCTTGCATGCACATTATGTAACAAAAAGCTTCAAGTTGACTCCAAATAAAGCTGTGCTTTAGAAGAAAACAACTGCCCTACTTACACCCTGCCAGAGACAAACATGCACAATTCAGACTTGACCATCAGTAGACTACATTTTTATTGACTGCCTTTCTGTAAATGTGGATGCAACTGTAACTGTTGTGATTAGCCAGAAGTACTCGTAGCTGATAAATCAAGCATCCTGAGCAAAGTTTGCGCTTTTCTTCAATAATGAAGTGAGAACATAAAATCATTGAAACATATTTCAACACCTCAAAATAAAAATTTGATATCTTAACTACACTGTTTAAGATACTTCGGAACAGGCTTTTTCCCCCCCGAAGTCAATTGCAATTCAAATTCTGAGCAACTTACTTATTTCACTTTGCCTAATATTTTAATATTAACCTAAAAATGCTGGCAGCCTGCAAACCACTTGCACGTGTTGCATGATAAAGAGAGGAACAACAGCGCAAAAGCCACATCACTGAGATGAATCCATGCTTTTGGAACATTCTGCCCTGGGAAGGTGAGAAAATTGGGCACAGGAAAGGCAGCATGGAAGTGATCCAGTCCATTTCCAAACATCCTGTGAAATTTAATGGGTAGTCTATCAAACAAAGAACAGAATAAAAACCTGTTAATAAGAAATGTCCAGTCACACAAGGAAGCCCAAGAGGATAACACATTAAGAGAATAGGTGCAAAACCAATGGCAGCCTCAGGAGACCCACTATTTTGGTCTACCTACTGTACCGCTGACAGGTGTTTTGCTCATTCACATTCATTTCTCTGATTATTAGTCCTGAACTTGATCACAAGTCAAAGTCTTCCAAATTGTCACAGGTTTAAAACAAATTAATATATTTTTCCTCACCACCCACCTTTGACTGAAAAACATAAGATGAAAGACATATGGAGTTTATTCTCAGAGGTGAATTGAAAGTTGGGAGAAGACTGTTTCTATAAACAATTAAATACAAGTTTTGTGCTGCAGTGGTAATACCCCTACCACTAGGCCTTTGACAAGGTGCCACATCGGAGACTACTAAATGAGACAAGAGAACATTGTGTTATGGCAAGCTACTGGCATGGATTGAGGATTGGCTGACTGGTAGAAAGCACAGGGTGTGGATAAGGGACTTTTTCAGGATGGCTGCCAATGACTAGTGGAGTTCTGCAGGGCCAAGTGATGGGACCACAAGTATTAATGTTGAACATTAATGATGTGAACGAAGGAACTGAGGGCATTGTTACCAAGTTTGCAGATGACAAAGACAGATGTAGGGACAGCTGCAGGGTGGGCAAAGAAGTGGTAGATGGAATGCAATGTGGGAAAGTGCAAAGTTATGCACTTGATAGTAAGAACAGAAGTATAGACTATTTTCTAATTGGGGAATGGCTTTGGAAATCTGAAGTACAAAGGGACTTAGGAGTCCTGGTTCAGGATTCTCTAAAGGTTAACATGCAGGTCCAGCTGGCAGTTAGGAATGCAAATGCAATGTTAGTATTCATTTCAATAGGGCTCGAATACAACAGCAGGGATGTGCTGCTGAGGCTGTATAAGGATCTGATCAGACCCGTATTTGGAATATTAAGAGCAGTTTTGGGCCCTGTATTCAAGGTAGGACGCTCTGGCCTTGGGCAGGGCCCAGAGAAGTGTGCAAGAATGATCCCAGGTATGAAGGCCTTGTTCTAGAGGAGCAGTTGAAAACTCTGGGTCTGTACTCGGTAGAATTTAAAAGGATAAGGGAGGATCTCATTGAAGATGAGAGGAACAGAATACTTACAGGCTTGTTTAGAGCAGACATGGAGATGATGTTTCCACTAAGAGGAGAGACAAAGACCCCAACGGCAGTGACAGCACGAAGGGGCAACTTTTTAAAAACTGAGATGAGGAGGAAATTCTTTAGCAAGAGGATGGTGAATGCGAGAACCTCAGTGCCACAAAAGCCTGTGGAGGCCAAGTCATGTATTTAAGACAGAGATAGATAGGTTCTTGATTAGTAAGGGATCAAAGTTTATGTGGAGAAGACACGAGAATGGAGTTGAGAAACATGTCAGCCATGATCGAATGGCAGAGCAGACTTGTTAGGTCAAATGACCTAACTCTACTCCTATGTTTTATGGACTTAGATTAGAAATCCAGGTTGGGAGGTAGCAGCCTAATGGTATTAATCATGGGACTCGGAACCAGCTAATGTCCTAGGGATGCAGGTCAGAATCCCACCATGGCAGATGGCGGAATCTGAATGCAATACAAATCTGGAATTTGATGACCATGAATCCATTGCTGATTGTTGGAAAAACCTATTTGGTTCACTGATGTCCTTTGGTGAAGGTAAATGCCATCCTTACCTAGTTTGGCCTGTATGGGACTTCAGACCCACAGCAATGTGACTGACACTTCAATTGCCCTCTGGGCAATAAATGCTAGCCTTACCAGCAAAACTCTCATTTCTGATGAAGGGTCTAGGCCTGAAACGTCAGCCTTCCTGCTCCTATGATGCCGCTTGGCCTGCTGTGTTCATCCAGCTCTACACCTTGTTATCTCATCCCACTGCTCTGGACACGTCATTGTAGATTTGATCAGTTTGATAAAGTAAGTCGAGCCAATGCAAGAGGTCTGACTGTCACTTAGTAAAGGGGAAAATAAGCAAAAGTTCCCACTTCCAATTGCTATGCAACAATCTTTCCTGGAACAACAACAATAAACGTTAGACAGGACTGCATTTGACTGCACCAGGTAAACCAGGTCACAGTTGCAAGTGAATTATGCTGTGATATTTTACCAACTGGTCCAACAAGCTGCATAGAGCCATGCCTCAACTAGACAAAATATGCAGTGGGTTTAATGGTTAAAAGGATACAAAATTTAAAACAAAAAAGGTGCAAATTTAGAAAAAGGAATAGGAAACCAAAAACTCAAAATTCCTGTAGGCTAGTAAGAATAGAACTTCCATTAAGCTGGATCACAATGGGACAAAAAAGACAAATGACTAGCTGAAACATTAAACACTGAAGCAATCTTATCAAGTTACCCACTAATGGCAGTGTGAAAAATATCTTAAATAGATGCACGGCCATTGACAAATAGGAGTAAATCTATATATTTCCTAATCCTCCCAGAAGGGGTTAAGTATTTAATTTGGTTTTACAATAGGCTGACCAAAAAAAAACGCAAAATCCACTTTTACTTCCTTAAAAGGAAGGAGTAAGATGACAATTCTGTCATCTGTTTCCCACAGGAGTGGCATCACTTGAAATATCAAAAGCAACTCACAGAAGCAACTGACTCATTTAGAATAAAACTTAAGTGCTAATAACACCCATCACAACCAAGCAGGTTACATTAATCAAAATTCAGAAGTTTACATTTCATGCATTTTGTTATGCACACTCACACTCTGAACCCCACACCAGAGAGGACAAAGAATAATAGGAGGCCATTGAGACTCATGTATATTCCACCATTCAATTAGATCTTTTTCTATGTCTCAACTATACTTACTGGTCTTTCCTTATTTCCCTCAATACCCCAATTACCAACAGAAAAAATCTTGAAACAAAACTTGCAATTATAAAAAACATGAACTAATGATTTATTAAAAATCTCAAGTATTGGTACAATTGAGCAAGGGTTGTTCAAATTTAAATAATCAATCCTGAATCAGATTACATACAACTATGAAAAATGAAAAATGGAGTCTCAACATGCAGGAAGATGCGCAAGATTTCATCAGAATTTAAGATTACAGCATGGATTCAAAATTGTGGCCTCCGATTTATTGACAGATGTTGACTGGCAAATTGTGCATTCTAGTAGATTGCTTTATTTCAAATTTCCAGTGTTCGCTATTTTCTCAACTTCGTTTGTTTTTAAAAGAATGTTTACTCCATAAACATTTGTGCCTCATTTCCTTACGCACATCTGTTGAGGAGAGGTTCTCTTTCAACATTCAAGTTCCAATCCTGAGGCGCATATAATAAAGCGACAGACAACCTTTCCTGGCCTGCACGTCTGCCAATGACTACTCATAGCAATCAAATGTCTTCGAGGGTATGACGGCGTAATTTAACTGCCTGGTTCAAGCATCGTAGCAGTTCAGCCTAATAATCAAGTTAGAAATCATGGTCCAGTCCATACCCAAACTCCCAGTCAGATCCTACATAGTTATAATCAATAATTTACTCCTCAAAATAAAGAGTGAACTTAGCTACCTGGGTAATGTTTTT